TGTGTGTGTGTGTGTGTGTATCTTTTGAACACAAACCAGAGAGCCATAGCACAGTGTGTGTGTGTGTGTGTGTGTGTGTGTGTGTGTGTGTGTGTGTGTGTGGTTTGGGTGGGGTAGAAAGGGCTGGGAAGCACAAAGGGCAATGACACCAGCTGGAATCCAGGCTTTGTCTAGGGCCAGCTAGGCAAGGGTATCTGAAGGCCTCCAATTCATTTTCTAAGTTCAGACATGTCCCTGACATTCTGTGTTTCACCTGCTTTTGTCTAGTGCCTGCCCCGGCTCTTGCATAGAGCCATTGACTCTTAGCTTTGTAAGACATCTAAAGGGCCATCACTACTAATCTCAAATCCAGTGCCTGAATCAGGCTTTACTACCCGAAGTCCTTGAATACTCCAAGCGATGGGGAGCTCACTCCTCCGGGGGTCATTGATTCTTCCTTAGGATCTTCTGTTTGAGCTGAAGTCTGCTTCTGTCTCCTTAACTTCTGCCTTGCAATCCTGGGAGTCCTCTCCAGGGCCAACCTATACAAATCTGATAGCCTTGGAGTACTTGTAGTGGGAGCCCCATCAGTGCTGTCGACCTTGCTTTATTTGGATGGGCCCTTTCCCTCCCCTAAGTTTAGGAGGATGGTGAGGGGATATGGTAGAGGTGGTAGAGTTGGGGTTCAGGTTCAGAGGCAGATCTAAGCCATGCCTGCTACCCTTTGTAGGGCAGCTTGGTGGTACTGGATATAACCTTGGCCCTGGATTGGCCAGCCCTGGATTTAAATTATGACTCTGCCACTGTTCAGTGTCGTATGACCTGGACATACCTAGACATGTTTCTTCCTCCGGCAGCTTCATCTATAAAATATGAATGGTGATGCCTATCTCTAAAGGTAGCTGGGAGAATGACAAGCAACGTTCCTGGCACAGCAGGCCCTCAGGACATGTAACATCTTGCACTCTGTGACTGTCCAGTGGCCCCTCTGTACATGTGGTTCTCACATCTTACTGAGTAGAATTATTGGGGGGTGGAGAGGTATCTTTATTTAGCGCAAGGAAAGTTGAAAAATTCCTAAACCAAATTCATTTTGAAATAGGTGACATTATTAGCTATTAAATAATAGTATTCTAAGCTCCTTACCTATGTGAATTCATTTAATCTCCCCCAAAACCCTATATTTTAGGAACTGCTATCATTCTCATTTCATGAATGGGGAGACTGAGTCCCAGAGAGATCACATAATAAGTACCTAATGGAGCAGAAATTCAAAACTATGTAGTTTGGGGCCAGCCCCATACTTTTATCAATGATAATTTATTGCATCTCTGGAGAGTAGATAGAATTAGACCAGTGATTTCCAAACTTTAGTGTGCATGACATTCACCTGGAGGCTTGTTAAAACATAAATCGCTAGGCTCCAGCTCCAGATTTTCTGATTCAGCTAGAGAATTTGCATTTCTAACATATTTCTAGGTGATGCTGCTGCTGCTGCTCAGGCACCCCACTTTGAGAATGGCTGACCACTGGGGAATGGGCCCGCCTGAATCCAGAGTCTGATTTTTGTTTTTTTTCTGATTTATTCAGGCTCAAACATGGGTAATGAGAGTTGATCTCACACAGAGGCAGAAAACAAATCACAGTAAGAATCATACTCATATTTTCCAAATGCCTCAAGCCTTGGCACATGTCCGCAATCTCGTATAATCCTCACAGTAACTCTGTGAGTTAAGTGGAGAATGGATTTTTTTTCCCACATATTATCGTATTTTTCTCCCATTTTAAAGAAGAGGAGGTTTGGAGAACTGGCTGGGCTAATTTCTCCCAAGGAGGTAGTTTTGGGGAGGCTGGAGCTAGAATCTCAATTTGTGAGTCATCATTACAGGCATTCTGGACACCTCTGTACCTTTCCCCATCCCCAGGCTATGATCAGAATTTCCTTAAAATGATATTTCTTAAGCATAAATCTTTGCCGCATTATATCACAGAGAGTAGGTATTATCAGTCATTTATCACCCAGTGTGAATGATTTTTCAGATAATTTCATGAGAACAGGGTGATTAGAATGCTACCCCGCTTTGTGTTTATATGTCTGTGGGCCTCTGGAAGGAAGGAGCCATGCCTGGCTAAAAGAGGCACCAATAGATGTTTGTTGAAATGAATGAACAAACAATGTTCCTCTCCTTGCCCATTCTTCCCAGAGCAAGCCTCCTTTAGGAACCCTACCATTATACCCAGTGCTCCCCACACTACCTCACACACAGTATAGTCTCTTAGTCTCTTGTCTGCCTGTCCAGTCCTAGAGTCAGACATCACAACTTAAAGGAAGCCTTTTCTGTTCCTCCCAAGCGGACACAGCTCTGCTTATCCTGGGATCCCCATCTAACATCATACCCCTAATCACATTGCATTACAAGTATCTATTTACTTGGCTCTTTCTTCTCTTAGATAGTGATGCCCTAAGAGCTGAGACTGTGTTTTTTAACACAGGGTTTGAACACAGTAGGCACTCGATACCTAGTTGAATGAATGAATGAATGAACAGCTGTGAGAACCTTGGTTGCTAAGAGCAGTAGGGACAGGAATGGTATCTTACCGGGAAGCCATTTCTTGATACATATCTGACAAGGGCATCAAGGGACAGTTTGTGGTTGATTCGGGTGACTCGCCTGTCTGTAGCAGTCAGATCTAGATTCAGCTACAAGCGACAGAATACCCAATATAACAGGATCTGGAAAGTTGCCAGAAACCAGAGCAGCTTGTCTTGTCTGCCTTTCTGTGACAGCTTGGGTCTCCTGCTTTTTTCTACATATCTGCTTTGTTCTTTTCTCTTTGCATATGGTGGGAAAGATGTCCCTGCTTAAGCACTTCCAATCAGCTAGCTAGCTTCTCAGAGCCCAGTTCCAGAATTCCTTGGAGAGAGCTGATTGCCTCAGGTTGGGTCAAGTGTCCACCCTGGTTAATCAACTGGCTAGACCAAACAAGGTCGCAAGGGTCCGCCTCTAGAAGGGAGGAGGGCAGTTTTCAGAGAATGGGTGTCATGAGATGGGAAGACTGCCCAAAATGTATCTAAAGCCTGGACATAGTCCTCTCAGGTCTGTGTCCTAGGACTTTGCAAACGGTCATTCATTTAGGTAAACAATTTTGAGCACCTTCTATATGTTAGGCATATGGATCTGCCTTCTAAGGAGTTTTCTAAATCTCTTTGGAATTTGTTCATATCGTTAACCTACACTATCTTTCAGAGGGAAGTCATAGCTCCTTAAATTAATCATCTCTTAGCTTTCCCTTTTCAAGTTTCAGGGTGGGGATCAAGGGCGTTGGCGAACGTGTTTCCCCACCTGGGTCTTTGGGAACTACAGAGACGTCCATATTCTCTCCGTTTCTTTTTGTCTCTCCAGTAAGAAATGTTAGTTCTTTAGCTGATTCAATAATGTCCCTCTCTCCTCCATCTCCCTAATTCCTTGACTTTCTTTCTTCAGCCCTGGGATGAGCTTCCACTCGTCCCAAACATGAAAGTATCTCAAGTTCATACTCAGGGAGGAGAATATTAGGTTTCTAATTCATACAGGAAAAGCAACCAGAATTTGATGAATCTGCTGATGATCATCATAAGTACTGTTCTTTGAGAACATACTCTGCTCATCCCCACACCAAACCCTTTATGTGCATCATCTCATACAAAATAATCTTCATAACAACCCTGAGAGGTAGGCATTATTTCTCTCATTTTCCAGATAGCTGGTCAAGAAGCTCAGAGAGAATAGGCAACTTGCCCAAAGTCACACAGCATCTGGGCAGTGGAGCTGGGCTTCAAAACCAGACCCCCTCCCTCCAGCGGCTTCCCACATGCCAGAGGCTTCTGAGAACACTCCACGTGGCCTCCAAGGTCTGCCCTGTGCATGCTCTCCTGTGAGCATTGTTTAGAATCTTCGGAAGTACCATTCCAAATGTGTTTGCTAACTCTTGTCGCGTCGAAGTAGCTCTTTGGAGATGAAAATCTGATCCTATTTTTGTCGCAGGACAAAACAGGTGGGGCTAGGATCCGGGCGGGGCCATGGTATGTGGATGGAGCACTGTCCGGGGGCACCCCTGGAAGCCCAGCTCTGCCGCCAACTCACCCTTGGACTCCGGACACAGCCCTCCCCTCTCTTGGCCTTAGTTTCCTTATCTGTGGCTCTGTGGGCCCTTTGCAGCCCTAACATTCTATAACATTCCATCTTAACTATGCGTTTCATAAGGGTTTCATTAGGTTGGCAGCTTCCACACTCCACTGAGAAAAGGGTGTGTTTGGGAGGTTTCCATCAGGCTGGGGACACCTGGGGCATGTGAGGCCCTCCTCTCACATCACGGCTTCTGGCCTTCCACACAGTCTGCTGTTTGCTCGGCAACCCCTGGACTTTGGGGCTGCCTAATGCTGTTCCACCAATTCTCTCCAGTAGGGGTTGAGTGTGTGCCTTCTGCCCTCTCTCATTTCACTGCCCACCCAGGGTACCCCACCTCTGCCTCCTTGTCTTCACATGGCTGCTTATTGAGCTTGAGATTTGGGGAACAAGCTTTCCCCCATCTGTGTCTTTCGAGCATATAGAGATGTCCACAGTCTCTCCTCTGGTCTTTTACTAAGCATATGGTACATATTCATCAAATCATTAATTCTCTCAGGAATTCCTCAGGTCCATAGTGTCATTCTCATCTAGTAGATAAAGCACCCAAGGCTCAGAGAAGTTAATAGATTTGACTAGGTTGACACACTAGTTAGTGCCAGAGCCGAGATTCAAGCCAGGTCGGGCATACCCTACCCTGTCACTTGCCTTGGAGTCGCCATGTTCACCTGGCCTGCACTGGAGTTGGAGAGGAGTCTGTAGTCCTCCAGGAGTCGTTTGATCTATGGTTTCTCACGTGGTCTGGGTGGAGGAAGGTGGTCTGTTTATGTTTGTGTGAGTTTGGAGGGTGAGATCATGGAGTCAAGCACCTCTCCCAACTGATCATCCCTAAACCGCTGTCCACGTTTGTTCCAGATCCTAGAAGGAGACCAGGCCATCCTGCAGAGAATAAAGAAGGCTGTGCGGGTGATCCATAGCTCCGGCCTTGGTGAGTGAGCCTGCTTGATGCCCACCCTGGCCAGGCAGCCCCTTCCCCAGCCCCAGCCTGGAGCTAACTCTGAGCTCCCTTCTCTACCTCCCCAGGCCATGTGGAGAACGAGGAACAGTACCGAGAGGCCGTGGAGTCCTTAGGCAATAGCCACCTGTCCCAAAACAGTCATGAGCTGTCCACTGGCTTCCTGAACTTGGCCGTGTTCACCCGCGAGGTGGCTGCACTCTTCAAGAACCTGGTGAGGCCCCTGATCCTTTCTCAGCCAGCCCCTAGCCCAGGCTCAGGGTAAATCTACTGGGCTTAAGAACCTGGCCCAGAAAAGGTTGGTTTCCGCCCTTCTCCCAGGTTACTGTCAGTTACCCTTGACCTCTGACCCATGACCTGAGGTCCCTTTTGAGTTCTGACCTCTCATTTGCATTCTTCTTCCTCTCTGACTTCTTGCCCACATCTTATCTCTCTATCTGTCTCTCCCTCCCTCTCTGCCCTCCTCTTTGTCTTCTGTGGTGATGACCCAGGTGAAGAAGAGGGTCTCACAGCAGGAAAGAGCCCCATGTGAGGAAGGGCTCCCTGTAGGAGGTTTGGGAGAAAGGAGGGCAGACTCGGGGGCTCCTACCTTTATGCCACCTCCTCTCCTCAACCTTCTTTGTCCTCTGCTTTCCCAACCACATCTGCTTTGTCCTCAAAGCCTAGGACCCACCTCACCTCCATAAACCTCTCAAATCCTGCATGGGGCCTAGTGGCCTCAGATTCCTTCCTGAGACTGCCTCTGCCCCTGTCCTTCGAGTCCCTACCTCAAGGCCACCCGAGATACAAGCTCTTCCGGTGTGCGGGCCTAGTTCTCAGTAACTCACGTGTGCTAACTCATTTCATCCTGGAGCATAGCTCGATGGGGTTGGTTTTACGATTGCCCCCACTTCATAGGCTAGGAAACTAGGGCATGAGATTAAGCAACTTGCCCAAGGTCACACAGCTGGATTTGTACCCAGATTGTCCAGCTCCAGCATCTGAGCACAAGCCCTCCCAGGAAAGCCCCTCTTTGGAGCTCCAGGCTTCTTTGGACCAATTCTAATGGCTCCTTCTTTCTCTTAGTTTCTCTCTGTCTCTGCCCAGTGAGCAAGATGGCCCAGCGGGCCCAAGTTCACATCTTAACAGAAGAAAGACAAAATCTGTCTCCTACATCTTTGGCAGAAAGGTCTCAGGAAGGACCTGATTGGCTGGCTTGGGTCACGTGCCTGTTCCTGAGCCAATCACTATAGCCCGAAGAGAGGGTACTCTGGTCAACTCTGACTCCTGTGTTCACTCTATGTGACTACAGGGAAAGGTTCCCCATATTAAAGGGGAGATGATGAACGAGCCAGAAAAAAAAAAAAAACATGAAAGCACTACAGGGGGACTTCAGAGAGTCAGAGAGTGGAGGGAGGGTGCTCCTAACAAGAGAGCAGAGCTAGGACTGCCGCTGACGTCCTGCGGCAGTGAGGTGCTGAGGCTGAGTTAGTCAGGAAAAGGGCAGCAACTTTTATGGGAGGCCGACTCTGCCACCCGCTTCACCCTCCCACCTCCACATCTTTCTCTCCCCTGCCCCCTTGACCTCCAGCTCTGTCTTCTGCCTTGTGATGTTTTCTTGTACCTGAGTCCCTTGGGGCTGGGCAGACAGTCACTCAAGGTGGGGGACTGGGGGCTCTGCTTTTTCCAGGTTCAGAACCTGAACAACATCGTCTCTTTCCCCCTGGACAGTCTCTTGAAGGGGCAACTGAGGGATGGGCGACAGGTGAGTTTCTGTGTGGGGAGTGGGGTGCCCAGAGGTGGTGGGATAGAGGAAGAAAGGGGTGGTAGGAGACCATAAGGGAGGCCAAGTGAAGCTGTCATGATGGGAGACTGACTCCATATTCCTGACCCTTGGCTCTGGGGTCAGCTTAGGTTGGCTGACCTACTGTTTGCCAGGTCCTTATGTGAAATAGCTCATGGAATTCTTACAACTCTATGAGGGGGGTTCTGTAGGTACTATCATCCCATTTTGCGGTTGAGGAATCTGAGGCTCAGAGAGTTTGGTAACTTGCTTATGGTTTACGCAGTTAGTCAGTGGAGGAGCCATTGTGGGATCCTGACTCCTGGCACCCATGCTTCGCTGCTCTTTTTGTACCTGGCTCTAGGGAGAATAGAGCTCAAAGAAAGTGACAGAATAATCTCCCTGGGAAGGCTGCCCCAGAAGGCCCAGGGGAGGAGCTGTCCTCCCCGCAGAGGCTTCCCTCCCTGCCCTAGGCTGGACACCAGACTGGGAACCTCCCAAACCAGACAGGCAGCTTTTTCACCTGGCCGATTGATATACTTTGGAAGCCAGGTCTGTTCTGAAGGGTGTGAGCAGCCAAGCCCAGGCAAACTAGGCCAGAGACCAGCCAGGTCTCACTGGCTCGCTGTGTGGCCTTGGGTAGACTTAGCCTCTCTGTGCATATGTCCCACTACCCGTACCCTAGCTATTGAGAGGATGATCTAGTACCAGGCAGGAGAAAATCGTGGGATAGAGTTAGGGGAGAGGTCTGACCTACATACTCTCATCCAGGGCAGACCTCCAAAATCTCCCCACACCCTCAGCCTGGGCCCACCACACCCAGCTGGTTCTTGGCAACTGTGGGAGAAGGTCAGGTGGGGGAAGGGGCTCAGTCTTAAGAAGTAGAGTCTGTTTCTATTTTGGGAGGGGCAGGTTTACATTCAGGGCCATGGGAGCAGGGGTGGGTTGGAGTATGGCTCTGAGCAGCATAGGGGAACATGCGAGCAGGGTCCCCTGAGGTAGCAAAGTGTATTGTTGATTCCAGATCCCAAGCACCCCTTTGGGCAATTGTTCTTTTTAAACCGCAGGATTCCAAAAAGCAGCTGGAGAAAGCATGGAAGGACTACGAAGCCAAAATGTAAGTGGCTGCAACCGGGAAGATTTGTTCAGGAGAGTGATGTTGCTGTTGTGGCAGGAGGCTGGATGTGGGAAGAACCTAAACGCTGTCAGGACATGTTGCCCAAAAGTGCAGGATGTGTCGCTCCCTAGAGGCATTTAGTGGGGGTAGTTTATGCCCAGGCCTGATGGGAGTCTCAGGCCTGGGCCACGAGACCACCAAAGGGGAACTATTGTGGTTGGACCTCAAGATGTTGCTCAGAGATCCATCTGCTCGGTGATGCCAGACGTGGCAGAGACAGAGAGGAGCTACCGTTTACCAAACATCTTCATCGGCTGGTGGTTTAATTCTCACAGTCACCCAGCCCTGTGAGAGAGGTATTAGTATCCCAATTAACAGAGGAGAAATTGGAGGCTCAGAGGGTTTAAGTCACTTCCCCAAAGCCACAGAGTTAAGCAGAAACAGAACTGGGGCTCGTGCTCCTTGATCCTCCTTCTGCAAAACCAGTGGTACCTATAAACATTTAGTTGGACATAGAGGAAAAAAGATATCATACCCAGGCCTCTTGTGTGCACCACCAATGACATGATGGGAAAAGAAGGAGCTTTGGGTGTCCAGTGACCAGGTCCCAGCCCAGCCCTGTGCCAGGGCCTAGCCAGGCCCACTGTACCTCAGAGCACTGTTGGCTCTTTGTAAAATTTTTTCTCTTGAATTTTGCAAAAGCAATGCATGTTCATTATGAATAACCTAGAAAATATGAAGTAAAAGAAAAAATAATCATCCTTAGGAGAGGATTAGGGTCATGTGGTGAGTAGCTAGTACTTCTTCATTGTTTGAATTTTTTTGTACATGGCGTGGGTAGCATAGTAATTCTATTACTTCAAAAGTGGGGTAGGGAACTACCAAAAACTAGGAGGGAAATCCTTAATGTCCAAGCCTAACGTATTAACATCTTTCTAGCCATTTTTCTATATGTAAAGAAATATTTTTACAAAACTGAAATCGTAATAATCATACTGTTTTGTAATATTTTTTACTTAAAAATTCATCGTGCCATCTCTCCACATCATTACATATTCTTATACAATGTCACTTAACCGCGTTCACAGTGCGCCAACATCTGCGTAATTCACCATGTATTTCATCCGCCCCTATCATTGAGGAAGCATCCTTGGAACTACATCTTTGCTCCTACCCATAATTATTTCTGTAGGGTCAGTTCCAAGAGGTAGATCCTGGAGCTTTATTGTTACTCCAGCTCCCGGGGCCATGGGGACCTCCCTGAGTCTGAAGGAAGGCCACAACTTCTCCCCCCACCACCGCCTCCATCTACACCCCAGCTGTAGGTGTAAATCCCGTGCTGACAGTGTGGGAGCTGAGCTGGACATGGCCATCTGCTCTCATTAGAGGCCTAGGGAGGGGCATGAGGACACGCAGGCTATCTTTCTCTTTAGGATTTGATGTGGGTCACATGGACTTCATCTTCCTGAGTTACCTTGACTAAGCCCTTAGCCTTGCAGGGTATCGTCTACCAAATAGAAAGAATAAACCCATACCTAGCTGACTTTCCCCCAGCAGCTCTGCTTTTATCAGGTTTATATATTGAGCTTGCCTGTAAGGTTTCATTTAAAGAAAAGATACTGTGGAATTGATGGGGAAAGAGGGTTGGCTGAGGTTATTCAGTGAGTTTTCAGC